GACAAGCTATAGACAAAACCCTCACAAAACTCTTACCTGATAAAACTATTATCCAAAAAATGCAAAGAACTCTTAACAGTAAGAAAACAATGCAGTTAAAAAGAAAGTGGCAAAGACCTGAAGAGACCCCCTCACCACGGAAACTCCGTGGGTGGAAAACAAGCATGTGTCCCACGCGCCACGGGGAGCACAGGCGGATGGATAGGCGTGGTGCCAGGGTCGTGTATGGGAAGGGCTAGTGCCGAAACAACCCGCTGGCCAGGCCGGGGGCCGCCTGAGCCCTCAGGCACGGCCGGGAGTGTGGAGGGACAGGGCCTTCGGGAGTGGGCTGGCTGCTGACAGGCAGAGGCAAGGCGTCGAAGTCATGATCCACAGATGGTGGGCTGCGCTTTGACTCCTACAGAACTCCTGCAGCAGACCTCGGCTACTGGGAGTCGGCCTGGGTGGTCTTACCCACGGAGGCAGCAGTTCATGATCACTTGGTCCAAAGATGCACTCCATCTATGGGCCCTCCCAGCATCAGGCCCGCACACCCTGCCCGGGCTTTGAAACTGAGCAGCTCTCACACTCACACACCAGTGCCCAGAACCCTCTAGTCACACTGACCCCTGGATCCAGTAGTGGTGCTCCTTGGGGTCCCCCAGATGGGCTGTAAATGGGTGCACACAGGTGTTCGTGGCGGCTTTCTTCATAACTGACCGAGTTCCGAGGCGCCCTTCAGTGGGCGAAGCCGGTGAATGAGTGGCACGTGTCATGCTAGAAAGGAAGGAGCCGCAGAGCCGGTCTCCAAGGACAGGAGCCACTCTGAGAAGGCCTCTCCTCTGATTCCAACCTCTTGACAGTCTGCCAAAGGCCAAACCAGGAGCCCGTGAAAATCCCCGTGGTCAGAAGGCATGTGGGCAGCGGGAGGGAGGACTCACAGGTGCAGCATGAGGGACTTCGGGCAGTGATGCTATATGATGGGTACGTGGTCACTGGCATCTGTCAAACCTATACTGTGTACAGCTCAGAAAATGACCCACCCACGTGCAAATGCAAACCTTGGTCAATGATATAGCCTCTGTGGGGCCACCGACTGTGAGTGGCACCACCCCAATGCAGGAGGTTGACCACTCGGGCACTGGGCCAAAGGGTCTTGAGAACACTGTACTTTCTGCTCAATGTATCTTATAAATTCAAACTGCTCAAAAAAGAAAAAAGAAAAAAATTACGACTTAAAAGAGGCAACAAAACAGGAGGCAGGGCTTGGGAAACATCACATGCACAGTTAGAAGCTGTCATCTTGCTGGTTTACTGAGACTTTAAATGGGCGCCTTTCAAAGTCAGAGCATCAACACAGGCTCAGGAGGCTGGGGCAGGAGGATCGTGAGTTCAAAGCCAGCCTCAGCAAAAGTGAGGCACTCAGCAACTCAGTGAGACCCTGACTCTACAAAATAGGGCTGGGGATGTGGCTCGGGGGTCCAGTGCCCCTGAGTTCAATCCTCAGTCAAAGTTTCAGCCCCTCGTCACTGGTTGTTTCCACCTCGTGAGCCTTAGGTTGGCATCACTCACTGGGCTCTGAGACGCTGACCTGCTCCTTAGTCGGTGAGGAGCACTGCACAGATGGGGGGGGGGGCAGGAAGGCTGCAGAGCCTGGCTGTCCGGCAGGGTAGCCACCTGAGGTGGTAGGGGACTCCTCCTGGGTTTTACCCTAGTTTTAAATTGACTAAATGGATCTTGCCTGAACAATTACAGTCCAGTGCAGATGGAGATCCACTTCCAAATCATCTCATTACACTGCTACGGTCTTTAACAACTCAGAGTATGAGAAATCCGATCCCACACCAAGGACACACTCTGTGTGGGCAGGATCCGGGAGAGATGCGCACCCCGGTCAGCACGCACACTCCTCTGCAGCACGGACCCCCACATCCTCCTGATGTCAGCCCGGCTCCTGCTCCCCCTCATTTCCCAGCCTCTGCATGGACAGATGCTCCCAGCAGGAAAGAGCCTTGAAGGAGGCCGCGCAGCCAGTGAGCCTCTCCCTCTGGGTCCCCTGGGCTCCCACCGTGCCCCTGTCACCAGCCCCACCCATCCCACACAGGTCCCTGGCGATGGGGCTGTTGGAGGGCACGTGGCCCAGGCATCATCCTCCGCTCCCTCGCTTGCCTTCCTGGCCATAGTCAGTCCTGTGGTCCAGGCTCCTCTCCCCGGGCCGGACACCAGCTTTCAAGGTTCGTCCAGATCGCCGCCAATGCACTGCTGAAACCCCAGCACCCGATGGCTGCTCCCAGAGAAGACATCTCAGTGCCCCCACCCCAGGCTCACAGGACCCATCCTGACCTGAGCCCACCTCCCGCCCAGGCCACTCTCCTCCCCACGGTCTCCTGGGCGCCTGGCATCCGGCTGTGGTGCACTCCTGCAGTCCCCAAGTGCTTCATCCTGTTTTGGGCCCTGCCCTGCAACTTGCAGTTCTTCCAAGGGAAAGGCCCTTGCCCTGCCTCCCCAGGGACTCAGCCGGCTGCAGTCCCTCCAGCTCCCTGGCTGCCTGCTCTGAGGGTCTCTGTCCTTCCCAAGGCCAACCCACACCGGCTTCTAACCTCTCCTACATGGCAACCTGGAAACTACTAAAAACTCACACTGAGCAGACCTTTGTTAACTGGCTTATGATCCAGTCGAGAACCTTTTAAGGGCAAGATTATTTAATACCTCTTTGTATCTCTGACTCCAACAGAGTCAGAGTATTGCTGAATTCATGCGATATTCTCATTGTACCCTTTGGAACAAAGATGGGATGGACATAGACCCATGCCTTCTGTGTATCTATTGTGGATTCAATCAATATTTGTTTGACAAGGTTTGTGTATTGGGCACTATGCTCAAGATATTGTAGTTGCTTTGTTTTGTTTTTGTTTTTTAAATCATGAACCCACTTGGTATGGCAGTGCATGCTTGTGATCCCAGCAACTTGGAAGGCTGAGACAGGAGGATCTCAAGTTCAAGGCCAGCCTGGGCAACTTAGACCCTATATCAAAATTAAAATGAAAAGGACTGAGATGTAAGGACTGGTTAAGCATTTCTGGGTTCAATCCCCAGTACCCGGTAGAAGATGGACACTGTAGTGGAGCATGCAGACGTCCTTTACTCCACTTACGGGCTCCGGAGTGAGCCCTCATTGTCTGTTCACGCTGGTGGAGGTGGGAGGCTTAGGGGGCTGCAGACAAAGATTTGTTGCTCTCAGCCCAGGAAACAGAACTCATCAGCAGGTCACATGGTCCCCTTTGCCCCCCAGAGCCAGGGCAGGGATGTAGCCAAGACACCACAGGACACGTGCTAGGCACGAGTCACAGCCAAGGGACACTGAGCCTGGGGACCCACTGTTCTACAGTGAGGAGTTCTGCACCTTGTCTAGAGGGAGCGTGGCCTGGTCCCTCAAGGCCGCCTCACTCTATGCACAACCTGGGGTATGATCCCGGGAAGAGCAGGCTGACACTGCATTCTTGGTACACCTGAGACAGGGAGGAAAACGGACTGCAGCCACTAACCTTCATTCTGAACAGAGACAGGCAGTGCCCTGACCCACTGAGAGGGACCGCAGACTGGTGACATTTCCTTACCCTCTATGTGGCCTTGTCCTGGCTCAAACCACTCCACCCCTGAGGCAAACCACCCTGCCCCTCTGCAGGCTTGAAGCAGCAGCTGCAGGGTGGTCAGGGCCACAGAGCAGGAGGGCAAGACCTCTGCCTAGGCCAGCTGGTCAGACCCTGAGCGCCCCACCCGGGAGAAAAGGGCACCTCACCCAGCAAGCTGTTTTCAGGCAAGGCCCCTCGTTAGCACCTAGCACCAGCTCCCAAGGAGTCTTGAGGCTTCTCTCCAGCTTCCTCGGGGGACTGCCTGTGCTCACTAAGGACTGTTAACCTGGACTTTTGCAAAAATAAATAAATAAAACAATAAATAGATCATAAAGATAAGCTATGATAACAGCTTATCTTAACTGTATCAGAGAAGAACCAGATTTCATAGGCTATTCCAATAAGCCCACGTTCTGGAGGCTTCTGCATCCCTAATCCACCTAGCCTAATCCAATCTAGCCATGGCCCTGAGAGATATCCTCCTGCCATCTCTCTCTGAAGCATGACTAATTGAAGCTTCCAGAGGTGAGATAGGGGTTGGCTTTTTGCATTTAATTCCCTACACATACTTAACTCTAAAGGGCTAGGCTGCCTCCCCATGATAACTGTGAAAAAGTCGTACAGGGATTCTTCATTTGAATTAAGTAGTGGCACCTGCAGATCTGTGTGTGGATCTGTGCTAACAGACTGCAGAAACAAGCTTGCTTCCGAAGTTGAGTGTAGCTGATCATAGCTGCAGAAAGGCATTTTCAGCCTCAGGAAGAAGAAAGTGGGGCTCCTGGATGAGCACCCTGACAGCTCTGCAGCCTGAGTTCCTCGGCAGAGGGCGCTGTGCTGACCCACCTCTCTGCTCCCAGGAAGCCAGAGCTGTGAAGTGCCGTGACTCAGCACCAGCTCCCAGGATAACAATCACAATAACAAGCCATTATCTTTTCCATGCTTTGATCTTGTTCAAGAATGTTGACTAAACAGAGACTGGCAGAACAACACCTAAGCATTTTGATACAAGCCACCAGTTCAGCTGTCCTGTGGAATGTGAGGAGTCTCTTGTTTCCTGTAATGAGCATTCTCCTCTGAACTGCGGGGCTTTGACGGGAAAGCAAACTCCAGGGGGATTAATGGGAGCCAGCCTGGTGCTCAGAGGAGGAAATGACTGAACCCCGAGCGAGCGTCAGCCTCCAGGGGGAGCACCCTGTGCCGGGACATCTGCTCCCTGTGGTTCTGGGCCTCTGCCACCACCCATCAAGAAGTCCCTCCCGCAGGGCCATGTGGTGAGTGTGGGGACCAGAGGGGACCAGTGGCCTGCTGCCAGGGCCTGGCGGGGTGTCCACAGACACTCCAGTGCTCTGCCCCACACAGGCCTAGTTCTGGAGCTCAGTCGTCAGGTAATTGGATTATTTGATCCATTTGCATATTGACAGACAAAGGCACAGAGGAGGGAGGAGACACATCGTCTAGATCAGAAAAACGTGGGAAGGGCACTGCTTTCCCTTCGACTCTAGCCAATGCTTGGCCTCAAGGTCAGAGTAGGCAAGAACGTTCCCAGCTTTTGACTGGTTTAATTGGGGCGGGACTCAATGGTGTGGGGCTAAAATAAATCTGGCTCAGAGCACATCCTGCCCCTCCCTCAAGGCAGCTGGCTCCTCCTGAAGCTCCCACACCCCCTACAAAACCTCTCTCCGTGGAAAGCAGGCCTGCCGACTCTCCACCCGACTCTCCACCCGGGACCCGGACCCCCTGTCCCCAGGCAGGGCTGATGTCTGTTTCCACAGTTGGAGAACATTAAGGTCTGGGCTTACAGTGCTCTATCCAGTTGAGCTAAGCAATTCAGAGTGGCCTCTAATTTATGATCCTAAGCACCCAACACATTCACTATCCGATTTAGTAGCAGGTTTAAAACAAAACAAAACAAAAACAGCCCCTACCCAGTTTCCCCCAGCTGGGCTCCCATGTTGGCTCCACCCACGCGCCTGCCAGGAGGGTAGCTGGAGTAGCACAGCCAGGCCCTTGATCCTCACTGTGATTTTTCATATGTAATAATTAACATCCAACTGAAAATTATCTGGAAAAAAAATTTTTAAAAGGAAAAATTTACCAAATCCAAGAGAAAAACACCTGCATTAGAAAAAGACCGGGTGGGCCCTAGTTCCCCCAGGCTGCCCCTGCCCACCTGGCCCAGGTGCCCTCTGCCCTGCCTCACCACTGGTTTCCTCTGGATGTCCCAGCTGTATAATCTTCTCATCCCCTGACCCATTCTCACCTTCTCCTCTGCAGTACATGAGACACTCTAGAGTTCTTTCTTCACCTGGGCATTTTTCAAAGATGGGGCTGGGCACGGTGGCACACACTTGTAATCCCAGTGGCTCAGGAGGCTGAGGCAGGAGGATGGCAAGTTCAAAGCCAGCCTCAGCAACTGTGAGGTGCTAAGCAACTCAGTGAGACCCTGTCTCTAAATAAAATGCAAATTAGGGCTGGGGACAGGGATCAGTGGTCGAGTGCCCCTGAGTTCAATCCCCAGTACCCCCCCCCAAAAAAAAAACAGACCCCGGGAATTCCAGGGGTGGAAGCCAGGGGGGTAGTTCTTTAAGAAGGTGTGGGACTACATTCAAGTACCCAGTGAACAGATGGCAAATTGTACAGAGAATGATAGTAAGAGGACCGAGTATGAGATCTAGAAGTGAAAAAGGAGGGGTGGAAGACAGAACTCTACTCAGCCCAACAGAGAAGGTGAGGAAGGGCCGGGAGATGAGAAGAGCACTCAGCCGAGACATGCGGAGCACACCAGCAGTACAGCAGGGCACAGGGCACCTGGGCCAGATGGGCAGGTGCAGCAGGGCAGGGGGCACTGGGCCAGGTGGGCAGGTGCAGCCTGGGTGGCTCTAGGGCTGAAAAACCAGCCTCTACCTCAGAGCAAAGCCTGTCCAAGGAAGGGACATCACCTTTGTCCTTGGAAAGACCCACAGAGCACTCCTAGGCACATTCCCACCCTGCTAAGTTGTTTATCTACAAATAACAGGAGAGATCTGCTGCGCCAGGTGTCCCTGACTCAGTCAGGCTAGGTGACCCCCTAGCAGCCACCAATCAGCATGAGACAGCGAAATACCTGGGATGCCAGATGACCCTCCCAGTAGTTTATGGTGGTTGATAACGTGTTGGGAAACCATGTAGTTCAGCACGTACACCCCTTTTGGCTTAAACCAATCAGTTCAGACGAATCCCCCTCTTGTAGTAACCAATCACCCTACCCAACTTGTTCCTGCCAGTGAATGTGCTAATCATGTTTTAGAGTTGTTATTTGATTTCCCCGTGGTGTGTGATGATTTGCTAAGAGATGCTATGATGTATGTGGGGGTCCCTGCCTTCCCCAGAGAGTGTATAAAACTGCTGCAAACCCTGGGCTCGGGGCCTCTCAGCGTCACCAGTTGCTGTATGTGTGTGCGCGCGCGGAGGACCGAGCTAGCTGGCAATAAACACCTCTTTGCTGCTTACATCGATCTTGGTCTCTGGTGGTCTTTTGGGGGTCCCGAATTCGAGCATAACAGGGCCCAGAGGAGGAGGGGGGGTCATGGAGAAGACAAGACCGAAGGCCTCCCAGAGGCTGATGGCAGACGTCAAGCCAGGCTTTCAGGAGGCCTGAGAACACTCAGATGGGGGAGTGTCCAGAGCTCACACCTGGACAGAGAGAAAGACGTCAGGGGCAGCCAGGGAGAATTCGAGAATGCGGAGAATGCGCTTAGGCAGCAGAAACACTGGGCCTGAGGGAGCGGGCGGGTGGGGCAAGCCCTGACCGGGAGCACGGGCCAGAAGATGCCTGCCAAGCTGACACGCCCTCCCCAGGCTCGGCCCTTCCCTCTGGTGGGGGCAACTCGTGGTCCAGGCCGGGAGGCGGCTGCCAGGTGGAGGTGGGGATGCAGAGCTGAAGGTCCCCACCATGCCTGCCTGCGTGTGACTGTTTCTCAAACCCACAGTGCCTCTGAAGCCAGGGCACTGGTCACCTGGAGCAGCTCGGGCACAGGTGCCATCAGGCAGAGGCCAGGTCCTCCTCTTGGGAATGGGCCTCGACCTCTGAAATCCGGGGAAACGGAAGCCTCGGGCATGCAGGGGCAGCTGCTGGCCTCTTGGGCTCTTCCAGTTTTCATGTGTGAGGCCCCACACATGGTGGCCGGCACAGAGAGCCTCTCCTGGTGGGGTGTGGGGTGTGGTTCCAGCGTGACCGCAGAGAACAGCTGCTCTTTCACTTCTGCCTTCCAGAGCTTGTGAGTTTCTTTACCTCCAACAGAAAGCAGAAGCCATCTGGGGAAGAGCTTGGGGATAGGAGATTTCAGATTAGCTAAGTCATCACAGAAGTCACCATGGAGGGAAAAATCACAGGGAGGAAGACCCGGGTGTGACCCCCTTGAGCCATCACAGTGACATAAAAGGTGACTTTTCTATCACTTCGCCAGTCGACGCTGCTCCTCTTGGGAAATGTGGCTTCTCAGGAAGATCAGGCAAACCTTTCAGCTTGGTGAGAAGGCACTTCTACATGGGTGATGCCGTTGGGGTTCAGCCTGGCTGGTGGGGACCCAGAGCCCAACACAACAGCCCCCCAAACTTTCACTTTACACAGAAAAGCAGTCTGGGCAAAAGTCACCAGGGTGAAGGTCAAGCGTGAGGACTGGGACCAGGTTTGCAAAGGGCAGCCTCCTGGGGAGAAGGTGAAGGTCGGGCCCTGGGCGTGCTGCAGGGTCCTGCAGGTGGGCAGGAGGCACTGAGACAGCATCGAGTGACAAGTGGCGCGCTGAGGTGCTGGGCATTACGGAGGGCCTGGCACAGATGGGCAGAGCACAAGGGTGGCCGGAGGACCGTCTTCCCAGGATGTGCATCTTGACCTGGAAAAACAACCTCCAGGAAAGCCAGCGGCTCCCTCTGGCCTGCCCGGCCCACAGTGAGCCCTGAGCAAGCCTGGGGCAAATGGCCCAGCGTGGGCGAGGGAATTCACCTGGCCTGTTCTGCGGTGAAGACTCTCAGAGTGCCAGCTGTCCTCAGAGCCCGTGGCCGTCCCCAGGCAGCCCCTGATGCACTCACCTCAGGCCGGCTCGGGCTTGGTGCCTTGGCAGAAGACCTCCTGCCTGTGCATGAACTTGACAGCGAGACCTCTGCTCCTGTGTCCGCGTGGGACCCTGGCTGCTGGCTGTCAGGCCACCCTGTCCCCTTCTCTTCCTGTTTTGCTTCCACCCACCCCAACCTTTGCCCTTTCCCATCCCAAATGAGGAGAAACCAGGAAAACAAGGCTGCTGGAGCCAAGCAGAAGACAGGACGCAGTACGGACGGGCACTGTATCCCCAGGTGGAGACACGTCACCCCTGTGGCCTCGGCAGAACCACTGACCAAGCGCCTTCCTTCTGCTGGAACCAGCCGTCTCCCACCCACCGATTAACCCAGATGCCACGAATCCCAGGGGCAGCGTCAAGAGGGCCTGAGGTGCCCTGGGGCTCTCCGGGATCCACCTACCCAGACCTGGCCCCTAGGTGGGCAGAGCTGCTGTCCTCATGTGAAGGAGCACCCAGAGACCCTGATGGGCTGCGTGACCACCAAGTACTGCTTTATTGTAGGTCCCCATGCACACAACGACCGTTGCTCCTGTTTATAAAATATATGCAGTCCGAGGACACGAGTCATGGTTAAGACACCTGGAGGTGCGATCTTTAGCTCAAACACACAATGGCGCTTCTGAACTTGAGCTCACTATGAACAGCCATCACCTCGCGCAAGGCTCCCGGCCTGCATCGTCTCACGAGGTGTCAGCAGATGACCCGAGGCAGGTGGAGACCCCTCACTTTGAGCATGTCGCTCAAAGTAGCAGGCGCGAGTTTATTAGAAGGAAAGGAAAAGGGAAAGGGGCTCCATCAAGGGAGAGAGTGGGTCCTCTCAGGAAGGAGAGGGTAGCATGCCCCTCCTGCACTCCATTTTTTTAAAAATGTTTTTTTAGTTGTCAGTGGACCTTTATTTTATTTATTGATACGTGGTGCTGAGAATTGAACCCAGTGCCTCGCACATGCCAGGCAAGTGCTCTGCCTCTGAGCCCCAGCCCCATCCCTGCACTCTGTGATTATTGGGGGTCCCAGGGAAGTTTCCAGGGAGTCCTGCCCAGGTCCACCTCTGGACTTTTGATTGACAGCAGGATGAGATCAGACTTTAGAGTCCCCATGGCCATGACAACTCTAAGTCACTGTGGCCCATGCTGACCAGTTCTAATTCTTACAGATTTTATGGTTAGGAGGAATTATCCTTATCTCCTTGGGTTCTGAGATCTGGTCTGTAATAAAAGGGTCAGAAAGTCTCTCTCCCTTCTGGGTAACTTAAGTTCTTATTAGCATTTCAGGCCTGCATTTCCCTGTTATAGGTTGAATTATGTCCTCCATAAGAAAGATACATCAGAGTCCCCACTCCTGTGCCTCAGAATGTGCTTTATTTACAAATAGGGCCCTCAGAGAGGTCAAGTTAAAATGAGGTCAATAAGCCTGGCTCAGTGGCCTGCAATCCCAGCTGCTCAGGCCTCTGAGGCAGGAGGATCAAATGTTCAAGGCCAGCCTGGGCAACTTAGACCTGACACAAAATAAAAAATAAAAAGGGTGGGGTCTGGCTCAGTGGTAGAGCAACCCCTGGTTCAGTTCCCAGTAACCCCCTCCACCAGAAAAGGTCAGTGACGGTTCTCCAGAGGGTTTGGGTACAGGCTTGCAGAGCTAGAGCGCCACGTGAGCCACCCCTAGAGCCTCCAGAGGAAGCGTGGCCTGCCCATACCTTGGTGGTGGACTTGTGGCCCCCAGAACTGGAGAGGTAACTTGGTTGTCACCAGCTACCCGCCGTGGGGTACTTCCTTACCTATAGAGGCCTGTTGTGGGGGTGGACAGGACTCTGGCCTCAGCAGAGAAGCCAGGTTCTCATGCCAGTTCTGACTGACATGCAGCTCAGACATGCCATTTCTTTGAGGATATTTCCTTATTTTAAAAATGTATATGGTGGCTGGAGATGTGGCTCAAGCGGTAGTGTGCTCGCCTGGCATGTGCGGAGCGCTGGGTTCGATCCTCAGCACCACATAAAAATAAATTAAAGATGTTGTGTCCACAGAAAAGTAAAAAATAAATATTAAAAAATTCTCTCTCTCTCTCTTTAAAAAAAAATGTGTATGGCCGGGTGTGGCTCCGTGGAAGAGCACTCGCCTTGTATGCTCTGGGCCCCAAGTTCCATCCTCAGCAGTGAAAAATCAACTCATGTGCATATCACGGGGCTTGGTAGCACACACCTGCAGTCAGCTACTTGAGGCAGGAGAATCATCTGAGCCCAGGAGTTTGAGAAGAGCCTGTGAGAACCATCTCCCTGTCCTCCCCAAATACAGATCAATATATAAATGTAGCATGTATATAATTGTGTGCATACATGTGTATATAAGTGTATCCACACAAACATACAGTGCAGATGCAGGCATGTTCATAGCTCAGACACAGAAGAGGGTCATGGATATACACAAATCATGGACACAGACACAGATTCAGACACTGGCGCACTCACCTGGGGCCACACAGC